TTCACTCTTTGGAACTGATAAGAGTATTCATTTTTCCACATTGGTTTAGATGACTCCTTCAATGGAATTGGTCCCTTAATAATTCACTCAAAAATTGCTGTTTTCTTGTAGGTTGCCTGTTTCCCTCCAGGGGTACACGATGTCTTTGCCTTTTTATCAGAGGTCCCACCAGCACTATGATCTCAGCTACCGCAACAGGGACCTCCGTACCACCATGAGCCAGTACCAGCGGGAGAAGAAACGTTCTGCCGTCTACACCCATGGCTCCACGGCCTACAGCAGCCGCTCCTCTGCGGCACACCGCCAGGAGTCAGAGGCCTTTAGTCAGGCAGCCACCTCCTCCTCCCAGCAGCAGGCCTCTCAGGCCTACAGTCTCGGGACCGCACAGCACTCCCACGGGTCTGAAGTCAGCCAGAAGGCAGTCTCAGCCTACGATTACGGTTACTCCCACGGGTATGTCAAAATTGGTCTTCCAACCTTGGGGAAGACACTCTGAATAACCCAAATCACTTTCTCTTTTCTCCTTACATATGGCAGCCCTACATTGAAACTGGGTGTGAAGACAGACCATATTTTTGGAGACCTGAGACCTGTATCTACCTATTTCCCTTTATTGTCTGTCTCTTTGAGATTTGCAAAGAGCTTCATAGTCATGCTGGAAAGTTTTCCTTGAATTGCCAACTGTGTTATTTCTAGAAGCAGGGATGTTTTGCCACAGGTTACTTTAGCAGCAGCAGAGCCAGGAAATATCATTTCAATGCTCGCAGCAGGTTTCCTCATTCTCAGAATGTTTCTGCTTAGATGAGAAGCCAGTATAGAATTTAAAATTCACAGGTCACAGCAGAGATGTGTTCTATTTCTTCAATATCTGAAAACCAGTACTTAAAATTCCAAGCTATTATTCAAGCAGCAACAATTTTCTTTAGCTGGAGCATTTTATAAAAACATAGTCTTATCTCAGTCAGCCTAAAAATAATAGGAACAAACCTGTATTCCAACAAAATTAGTTTTATCGACCCAATGCAATGAGGGAGACTAGACACTAAAGGAAAAGAGTTACTTTAGGATTCTAGGAAGGGTGGAGGTTAGATGGAGTTCTGATCTGCAGAGCAAAGCCAAGGTCCTGTTTCCTTGGAAACAGTAAAGTTAAGATCAGTGTGTACTGTTGAATCCAGAAACCGTTTATCTGAAGCTCTTCTTCTGGGGTGTGCATCCAGCTGCTTCTCTGTGTCAGCAGGCAATTGGATCCTCCAGGCAGGAGTGAGATATTTCATTCTCACTGATATAATTTCAAACAGCAAACTTTCTGATAGTCTTTGATGTTAGAGAAGAAAGTTTCTCGGTGAGTCTGTAGTCACTCAAACAAGGAGGTTACTATGACACTTGACAGCAGCAGTGTCCCTGGGAGAAATGTTGTTTACCGTTAACTTTGCAGTTGGGTATTATCTGTGTCTATTATCTGTGTCTGTCGTCCCAGCATAATAAATGTTGGGCAGATATTTATTTCTCATTCCAAGGCAATTTTTAATTTCTCAATATTCAAAATGAAATATTTTTTATGGGGATTTAAAAACACTTGCAAGATATATGTGATTTTTATGAAAAAGCTATCTATAGTCCACAGAAAGAATTGCTGACCTTCAGAATGTAGACATTTCTGGGCTATGTGGTAAATAACCATGTGCTGCCTCTAGACCTCTTCTTCAAAGCATCTGGCATAGGCTGCATTTTTTTTATTAGAAACCTAATATAATTTTAAGTCTTAGAAAATTTAACTCTAAAAAATATTTGTTAGGGAAACTGGAAAAGGTGTTTATCTCTGGAAATCGAAAAAGTTATTGAAAAAATAATAGAGTGATTTGTATGAATAGAAGGGAGGAAGGTTTCTGAAGGCAGAAATTCCCAAATCCCTCTTAGGTTTGAACAGCGCCTGATCTATGGCTGTCATCTTGTCAGTGACGGTGACCTGGGAACGTCTGCTAAGTTTAGGAATAGCCAGAGTCTGCTGGGGTTTACCTGGAATGTATGATGGCCACGTTCTGAAATTCCATTTAAAATGGAACAGGATCATTTTGCACTCACTTTCATAGGTCATGTTCTGCCGTGGGATATTCAAAAGGATCTTGCGCTGGCTGCAAATATGGAAATATTGTCACTGAGGTGAATTCATTTCTTTTAGTACTTGCTTCCAATGAACTGCCTTCCAAAGAAAATTTAGATGGTTGGGAGAGCATAGTGCTGGTAACACCAAGGTTAGGGTAACACTGGCATTGGATCTCAGTGCCAGCCAGATGCCAAAAATAAATAAATAAATAAAATATAATATTTTGACGGAATTAACACCATGTGTATGTGACAGCATCATTTTGTTCCCCTGAAAAATGTCCCATAAGTACGTTTAAAGACCTCATTTAGGAAAGCAGCTATCTTGTAATAGAGGAGGATTACATTTTAAATATCCATTTTCCCAGACTGCCTGTGCGAGGTTTATAGAAGATGGGTATTTCCATTATCGTGCTTTTGTTAATGTTACTCCTTATGTATTTATTTCACTTCCCCAATACTGTAGAATCTATAGTTTTATGAATTTGTATTTTTAGATGATCTTTATTTCTTCAGCTCTGTTGCTAAATTTTGTTAAATTATTTTAATTTTAGACAAGTTCTTCTTTTTTTTTTT